AGCGTCCACCTACAAGTCATAAAGCCTGGTAATCTGCTAATGTAACATTATTCTTTGGAGAAAGGCCTCTACTCCACAAAACAAGCTGAATCTTAATTAAAAGCCCAGGCCACCTCATCCTAGGGGTCTGCTAGAACTCCCTCGTATCCACATGTTCATCTGAAGGACTCGGGCCTCCTCCTCAGGGCACCACTACCGGGCACCATGGAAACCAGCCTGGGCCTGCAGACCACCACCATCCTTCAGCAGTGGCAGGGAGCCTCAGGGACCACTTCCTCCACTGAATACCTAGTGTGTGCATGATAGGGCAGGATAAGGCCGCAGCCTTAAAAAAAAAAAAAATCTCACAGAAGCATAAACAAAACCATGTGCAAAAACTAAGCACAGTCACAGAGCTGTAAACACGAAGCCAAGGAGCCGGGAAGAGGATGAGGTACTGGAGGATGAGGCCGCTGCGCGCAGTAAGGTAAGAGCTGAGTTTGGAAAACACTAGTAGTAGCATCAGTTGGGTAAAGGGAGACGGCCAGGCAAGCCAGGCAGGCGGGCCAGCGTCAGCCCGGCCAGCAGAAACAGCTTGGTTTACAGGAGATCAACAGTCCAACGTGGCTGGAACATCAAGTGCAAGGCAGGGAGTGGTGGGCGTTCAGGCTGGAGCGGTGGGCCCAGCCGGGCGGCCGCGGGCTAGGAGCCCGCGCAATTCTCGCTGACCTGGTATGGGGAGAGCAGCTGGCTTACGCAATTCCCAAGTAAACGAATTTGGGCACCCACGGCGAGGCTCGGCGGTGACGATCGCTGGTGGCGCCGCCAGCCCCCTCCCCCGTGCACCTGTGCGCCTTCGCAGCTGCTAAAGCAAACGCAGGCCGCCCCGATCTATTGATTTCCAAGGCGGGCCGCAAGCACCTCCGGCCTCGGCCAGCGCAGTCCCGGCTCCCAGTCTCCCCCAGCCCGCCCCGAACCAGGCTTTAGGTTAAAAACGCCTGTTGACGCACTGTGGCGGCTGCCCGCGCGCCGGTGGGCGAGCAGGTTTTTCTCTGCAGTCGCCACCGACTTTTCCCGAAGAAGAGTCCCTGCGGGCCTTCCCGACCCGAGCGAGACTGGGGGAGGCCGGGGGCGGCGAAGGCTTCCCGGCTGGCACTAGGCCGGGCACGGCGGCGGGGAAGCGGCCAGTGCCAACTGGGGTTCGCGCACGGCGCAGTGCCGCGCTCCATCCTCCCGGGGAAGCGCAGCGGGCGACCAACAAGATGAGCGCCCGCCTCTCCGAGCCCGTGGCCCGGAGCGCCGGGGACGTGGGGGGTCCCCGCGCGGCCGGCCGGCCGGCTGTGCCCGGGGCCTGGGGCCCGGGGCCAGGCAGGGCGGGCGCCCGCGGCAGGGGTGCGAGCGGCACCCGGGAAGCGCTGCGGGCAGCGGCGCGCTCGGCCGGTGCTCCGTGGCCCCGAGTCGCGCGCCGGCGCCCAGGCCGCTGTCATTACCTGGCCAGTGTGGTTTTCCCCGAGCCCGGGAGGCCGCGCAGGAGGTAGAGATGTTTCCTAAAGCTGTGGCGACGCGGAGGTGTCCCCCGTGGGGGCGGCCGAGCAGGCTGCTGCTGCTGCTGTGGCTGCTGCTGTTGGAGGCTCAGCCTCCCGAAGGATTCAAGAAAACTGTCCTCCATGGGGAGGGGGCTGACTGCCAGGGCCTGGGTTCTCTTTCCAGAAGTCACGGTCTTGGCCAAAGCTGTTGTTTTTGTGACTCTCCGGCCATGTGATAGATGGAGGGGCGGCGCTCGGAGCGCAGCCCCTCCTTCCCACCCGCCGGAACCGCGCTGCGTGGGAGGGGGCGTCCCTACCTGGGAGGCTGGGGACGCGGGGAGGCTGACAGCCCGGAAAACGTGGGTGGCGCAGCCCCCGGCTCTCCCTCCCGCCGCCCGCCTCCCGCCGTCCCCCCGCCCCGTGTCCTTCGCCCCGAGGGTAGGGCTGGGGGCGTCTGTCCGGTGGGACGCTGCACATCTGCCTTGCCGCCACCGTGAAGCTAAAATACATCCAGATTACAATACACGCTGAAATTTTGTAACACTTTGCCACCTCACCTCGGACTGGCCCAGACCCTAAATGTAAAATGATTTTCTTTGATGATTAAAGAATCTGCGCCGCATCTTCTGTAGTAAAACTGAAGGCCACTGTTGGCCCCGTGTATGTGCGCCTACATCTGGCGAGTGCCCCGAGCGCGGAAACTGACCCATCCAGGCCCGAATCTCTACTCTTCTTTAATCCTGTCTGCCAGAAACAGTCTTAGAAATCATGTTGTCTCTGTTACTTTTTCTTCTCCTCCCTCTTCCCCCCCCTTATCCCCCCCCCTCCCCGAAAACACACTTTTTAAAGTTCAGATGTGTTCATGCGCAGTGTCATAGCGCTAACGCTCAGGTACCCACGAAAAGAGGCAGCTTCTCTGGGAACTGTTGCTAATCTCCAGTAAAATGTCAGTATCTACTAGAATCATTTATAGAGAACTAAGTTCTAGGCTCCTGCCTGTGAGAACCAATGGCTGATCCCTGCCACGACTCTCCAGTATTTCGCAACAGGATGATTTGTTTGCTAGTTTCAAAAGAGACAATGATCAAAATATCCATCCTAGAAAATTAAGGATATATGGTGACTTTAGATACAATAATTACTGTGAAATAAATTTTGCTTCTGACACCTAAAGCATGAAAATTATGAAAACAAATTGTGGAAGGAAAGAGTGATTTTCTCTTAAAACAAAATGCAGAGTCTACAATCAGCTCTAGGAAGGAGCCCCTCCTCCAAATAGGGAGACACGCCACCCTCATATTTCTTCATTCCTCTTGGGACCAGCGTATGGGATGGAGAAGTAAGGAAGGGAAGAATGAGCCACAAAAGCCTCCCAGGTAGAGATGTATACTTTGATTCTTAGCACTGCTAAGAAATGATGAAATTGCAAAGTGTTTTCTACTCTTCAACGACTCTTAAATTATAGAGCCAAGAAACACAATTTACCAGGCCGTAGTCCAGAAACCTGAGCAATTGGAAAATCCGGAGCTGGAAAGGGCTCTAACTTGCAAGATGAGCTCAAAGTCTGTTTAAAAATACATAATATGTTTAGCACTGGTGACTCATGCTTGTAAGTCCCACTGCTCAGGAGGCTGAGATCTGAAAATTGTGGTTCCAAGACACCAGCTGGGACAGAAGAAAAGTCCACAAGACTCCTACCTACAATTAGCCAGCAAAAAGGCAGGCCTACAGTCGTGGTTCAAGTGGTAGAGTGCCAGCCTTGACATAAAACACCAAGTGAAAGCACCAGAACCTGAGTTCAAGTCCTGGTACTGGCAGAAAGAAAGAAGGAAAGAAAAAGAAAGAAAGAAAGGAAGGAAGTAAAGAGAGAGAAAGAGAGAAAAAGAGAAAGAAAGAAAGAGAAAGAGAGAGAGAAAGAAGAAAGAAAGAAAGAAAGGAAAGAAGGGGAGGAAGGAAGGAAGGAAAGGAAGGAAGGAAAGAAGGAAGGAAGAAAAAAAAAGAAATGGACACTAAAGTTTCAGCGTAATGTAGTGCTATAGCAGAGCAGGTACAATGCCCTGGGTTCAATCCCTAATACAACTTCAAAAAGAAACAAATATACATCCCTTCCCCTAGGCCTGCAGAGTTGCTGCTAGTAAAAGATAAGAAGGAGCCGCATAAGATAAGAGCTTGGAATACTCTTTCTGAAAACAAAGGATGAAGGAAATACATGCTGAACAATAAGTAGACAATCATCCTTAATTTACATTTCTCAATTTTTGTATTTCAAGTACAACTAAGCTAAAGTACAATCAAAATAGTAAAATAATAATAGTGGCCTCTAATACATGATCAGGCCCTTAGTCCTTAAGCAGAATCTTGAAGGTCAGATGTTACAGAACTCAGAAAATATTTATTTGAAATAATAGAGCTCAAGAGCACACATTACCTTATATTCCAAATGGGGTAGGGGGTAGTGGCAGCCCCTAGTAATGAAATACATTAATATTTCTGCAGTGAAATGAATTAAACACATATCAAATGAGACAAATAAAGAGTAAAACTAATCTGTTTTGGTCAGTTTTTGCTGACAAATTAATTTTAGTTCCAAAGTTACTTTAAAAACAAACCAGTGGTTGCCAAAGATCAGGAGGGTAAAGAATGGGGAATTAAGCGGGGCACCAGTGGCTCAGGCCTGTAATCCTAGCTACTCAGGAGGCTGAGATCTGAGGATCGCCATTCAAAGCCAGCCTGGGCAGTAAAGTCCATGAGACTCTTATCTCCAATAAACCACTAGAAAACCAAAAGTGGTGCTGTGGCTTAAGCGGTAGAATTCTCGCCTTTAGCTAAAGAGCCCAAGGACAGTGCCCAAGTCCAGAGTTCAAGCCCCACAGCCAACCAAAAAAAAGAATGGAGAAGTATTGTTTACTGGGTACAGAGCCATAGTTTTACAAAATGAAGAGTTCTGGGGATGGGTGAAGATGGCATGACATTATCAATATGTTCATAAGATTATAAATGTTATTGTCCATTTTACCACTGGAAAAACCAAACAAAAACAACTTTTGGTTTTCTGAGCCTTTCAGATTTCAGAATTCTATCAACATTTGCATTTAGGCTCTACCCTTACAATCCTGATGTAATTTTAAAAATAAGCTACTTGAGTTTTCTGTGCCTTATTTTCTTCAATAAAACTAAGTAAAGCCAGGCACTGGTGGTTCATGCCTATAATCCTAGCTACTAAGGAGGCTGAGATCTAAGGATCACCGTTCAAAGGCAGCCTGGGCAGGAAAGTCTGTGAGACTCTTATCCTCAATTAAACCACCAGAAAACTGGAAGTGGTGCTGTGGCTCAAATGGTAGAGCACAAGCCTTGAGCTGAAGAGCTGAGGAACAGCTCAGAGTTCAGGCCCCACAAAGGACAAAAACAAAACAAAACAAAAATCTAAGTAAGGCAAATACTGCAAATTAGATAGTAAGGTGTTTAAATTGTTACCTCTTCAGTTGGGTTTTTAAGAAATTATTATTCAGATAACTTATCAAGAACATCCAAGCCAGTTTTGGTGTCCAATGGGTGTGTTCCTCAGGTCAGCTGTGACTTGCAGACTTTTCTCCATAATCAGGATCTTCAGCAATGAGGTGGAAACCAGCGAAAGCTACAGACAAACAGAAGCAGACAAGTACAGGCCAAAGTGAAGGAAATGAGTTTGTTTCCAGGATCCCCACCTCAGATGCCCTCAGTTTGCCTCTCCCCTGGCCTCCTGCACTTCATTCTGTTCAAGTCTCCTGGTTCTGCCTGTGAGAAAAACTGTCTGTCGATTCTATCAAAGTGTATTGCTTAAAAGTTCCTGCTTTGGTCTGGTGGCTTGGCTCTTGTTAAGAAAAGAGGAACTGCTCTGGCATAAGGAAGAGGTTTTGAAATATAAGGTTTTTGTCTTAACCTGGTTTCTTTACAAGATGGAATTAAGCTACACCTCATATTATTCAAGAAGTAGCAGAGGGTGGGGGTCTATTTTGAGATTACTTGTGTACTGTTAATCTTATTTCAAAGTCATCTTATGTAAATCTATTTTACCCTATTCAAACTAGGCAATCATGAGCAGATCTGTGAACCTGAGCTCGTTCAATCTGAGCAGAGGAGGGAGGGCCTGCTGCATTAGGGATAAATAGGGGAGCAGCCCACTGGCTCTTTGTGCTTGCTTGCCAGCTTTTTGGCTGCAGAAGTAAATATTACTTTGTTTAAACAATTTGTTACTGTTGTTGTTGGTCATGGGGCTTGAACTCTGGGCCTGGACAATGTCCCTCAGCTCTTCAGCTCAAGGCTAGTGCTCTACCACTTGAGCCACAGTGCCACTTCCTGTTTAGACAATTTTTATTGTCGTGTCTATTATTGTGACTCCAGTGGCTCTTGGAGAACATAATTATAATATGCCTCCCACAAGAATCCATTCCAGATGATAATTTTAGGGGAGGAACACAACGGTACTAGGCCTCTGTGCTTCTGGTCACATAATATTTATCAAAATAGAAAAAAAAGAATCAATTCCTCATACTTTCCCAACATCCTTTCTCAAATCAAAAACTTGTTCCCAGACCAGCTATTTACAAAAGGTTAATAGTAATTACACTAATTCATACAAATGTTTTAAGTTTCCTGGACCAATATATTCTCCCCAGATGATGGAAATTCTGTTTTTCCAAGAGTCATTTCCAAGGCAATGCTTTTACCTAATGATTTTGCCTTTTAGGAGGAGAGAATTAAAATTAATCCTTAGCATGTTGCACACATAATTTCACTTAAATCCTCCTTCAACATCCTCAAAACAGATTGGCACTGAAATTACTTTTTACAGGTGAAGAAACTGAGGCTCCGAGAAGGAACTTGTCTTCTGCAGTCACAGTCAGGCAACAGTAGTTCTAGGCATCAGGACAACCTCTTCCTAGCATGCCATTTCTATACAGGGGAGCTAGGGCATTAGCATGCTGACCAGAAGCGGGGAGAGTATTTTAAAGTAGGCAGGGCCTGGAGGCTTCTAGAACCAACTAGATTCTCCTACTATAATTACCTTTTTCAAAATTTCTATATACCCCCCTAATTGCTCACCAGTATATTATGCTAAACACAAAATGGGTTATCTCTTTCTCAATAAAACTATAAAAATTTTTCACTTGGCTATCATACTCATAAAATGCCCTAAAAGGGAGAGACTAAGAATTAGGAATCCTAGCCAGGTGCTGGTGACTCACATCTATATTCCTAGCTAGTAAGGTGGTTGAGATCTGAGGATTACTGTTCAAAGCCAGCCCAGGCAGTAAAATCCATGAGACTCTTACCTCCAATAAACCACCAGAAAACCAGAAGTGGTGCTGTGGCTCAAGTGGTAGAGAGCTCGCCTTGAGCTGAAGAGCTCAGGGACAGTGTCCGGGCCCAAAGTTCAAGCCCATGACCAACAACAAAAAAAAAAGAAGAAAAGAAAAGAAAGAAGTAGGAGTTCCACTGCTTTGTGAAAACAGGGCCACAGAAGACACTGTAGCGCACATGTATAAGAGCTCTATCAAACCAAAGGAAGGATCAGAAAGTATCCTTAACACAAAATATTAAAACATAGCCAATAGAAAGGATTCTCATATTGGTGTCTAAGCATGTTTCTTGTTGCATGATTTGAATTGGTGCTTTCTAAAACATACAGGGGACTTCATGTGGGAGAGACATTCTTTTCCTGGTATCCACCCCTGTAACATATACCCTAGGAGGGGAGGAATGTTTCACTGTTCATTGTACAGAACAAGATCTGACATAACTCTACAAGTATTTATTGAATGAATGAATGAATGCATTTCACCTTCTTTCTCTAGAATCCCTCATAACCATCCACCTCTCCCAAATCATATTTATCCAGCATTTTCTAGAGGTCCCTCTGAATCTCTAACCTTTCTCCCAAATATCAGTTCTTCTAGCTGTTCTTTCAGTAGAAACAGATTTCAAATAAATACAAATATTTTTGCTGAAAATACAAGTATTTCTCATTGAAAACTGAAAACGTAAAATAACTCTAGGAAATAAGAGTTAAAATGAAGAATGAAATCATATGGCAAATACACAGAACATTCGATTCTTATCAAAATGCAGACACATATACACTGAAATTGTAGCAGCTGTGTTTGTTTTAGAGTTTAGGCATTTGGGGAAGATAAGTGCAATGTTTTTATATTAATGTCAGCCTGACGTCAAGTTTAAAATATAACGTGAATACGTCTCTCCGTTTTACCTCTTTTCCTAGAGAATCCTTTAATATGGTCTTTCATCAAAATCGCTAATCCCTAGTCCTGGTCACATACAACCCAGGAGGGGAAATGTCCCATAAACTCTGGGTTGTTAGAATGCTCTAAAATATGTTATAATTAATGAAGTGGTAAAGTAAATGTAGGAGCAACAATCTAAGCTTTGTTGCATTTCACAAAAAGATTTTCATTTAAAGGAAATAAAAGCATCACATGGGCAACAGCACACAGGGTTGCCATGGTAACAAACTACATTTTTTGATATTTTACTCTTCAACTGTGGTACATATCAGCTATTATAGCCAAATGATGTTAACATTCACTCCCTTCTGATTATATAGATGTTGCTGCAAAAAGTTGTACTTACTGTTCAGGAAATTTTCATTTTTAACCAATCTTCTTTTGTCTTTTCTAGAAATCATAATTAAAATACACAAAGTAATGATTAATATTGAGTATGAGGGCAAGTTTCCATTGTCCTTTTATTCATGTAGAGACAATCCTAAAATGATATTAATCATGAAATAATATCAACCACAAATACCAATCTGAGCATTTGAAGCTTTGTGTGTGTGTGTGTGTGTGTGTGTGTGTGTGTGTTTATGAGAGAAAGAGAGCGTGTGTGTAGCAATATGGTCTCCACAGGCAATAGAGATAAGAACTTCACTAATACATATATTAGTGAAGTATATATATATATATATATACGTATATATATATAAACAAACATATTTAAAGTTCATTAACACGTAAATATATACATATATATTTGATTTTTACTATATAGGCACACAAAACAAATTTACTTTTGCACAGCTATACCTACTATCCTAAGTATTAGTTCTGTTAAGTTTCATTAAACTTCCATTTTACTATTTATTTCAAAATAGATTTTTAGCATCATCTCAGGGCTCATTTAAATCACTGTTCACTAACATGAACAGAACACAACCACCTCCATCATGTCAGAGTGCTCACTAGCTTTTTCAGAGTTTCTATCATCTTTCTAATTATCCCAGCCAGTCTTCCTCTGGGCATCTGGAGGGTGAACAGCCTTCAAAAGTAGGTATGTGCCTCTCTGTGAACCAACAGGTCACACCAATAATAAATACTCTCAAGTCAAGTAAAGATGGATCTAATTTGCAGCTGCAACTCTTTTCATAACAGAATAAGACTGTGGGCTGGAAAAGAGAACCGATGTAGTGAAGAATATACTCTCAGGACATTATTTAGGACACCTCAGGCACAGTGCTGAAGTGCTTGCACTTCAACAAAATTGGGTGATCAAATGAAATTTTTTCTTGGAACTACTTGAAAGAAAACATATATGACTTACCCATGCACATATATTCTTTCTACAGTTGTTTTGATCAGTCATAGGGCTTGAACTCTGGGCCTGGTACTGTCTCTCAGCAATTCAGCTCAAGGCAAGCACTGTACCACTTGAGCCACAGCACCACTTCCAGTTTTCTGGTGGTTTATTGGAGATAAAAGTCTCTCGGACTTTCCTGCCTAGGCTGGCTTTGAATAGTGATCCTCACATCTCAGCCTCCTTAGTAGCTAGGATTACAGGCATGAGCTACCGGCACCTGGCTTTCCATAGGATTTTTTTTTAATACCTCCCTTATTCCTGCTGTTTTCCAATTTAAGAAATAAACCACTTGTACCAATTTTATTTTTTAAAGAAACTTGTTAGAGCTGGCACCAGTTGCTCATGCCTGTAATCCTAGCTACTCAGAAGGCTGAGATCTAAGAATCCCAGTTTGAAGCCAATCCAGGCAGGAAAGTCTTTGAGAGTCTTATCTTCAATTTACCAGCAAAAAAATCAGAAGTGGAGCTGTGGTTCAAATTGTAGACCTCTAGCCCTGAGTAGAAAAGTTCACACCCCAGTACTGGCACTCAGGGACAGGTGCACACACACACATACACACACACACAAACACATACACAAACACACATGCACATGCACTCGCAAAAAGTTAGAGAAGTCGGGTGCTAGTGGCTCACGCCTGTAATCCTAGCTACTAAGGAGGTTGAGATCTGAGGATTACAGTTCAAAGCCAGCCCAGGCAGGAAAGGCCACGAGACTCTCATCTCCAATAAACCACCATAAAATCGGAAGTGGTGCTGTGGCTTAAGTGGTAGAGAACTAACCTTGAGCTGAAGAGCTGAGGGACAGCACCCAAGCCCAGAATTCAAGCTGAACTAACAAAGAAAAAAAAAAAGTTAGAGAAGACCTTCTTTTAAAGCATATATTAATCTACCTCTACTGTTATCTTCCACTGCAAGTAGATCATTTTCAGTGTTTTCCAGTCAAGGGGAATCACATAGTCATCAGGCAATAAGGATTCTGTGGAAAAAGGGGGAACAAGTTTCATCTTCAGTGTCATACATAATTTCATACTAAATATGAAGTTATAAAAACATCGTATCTGGGTTGCTGTAATGTTAAAAGTCCTGTTTTAAAGATATTTCAGTTATGGCTAAAACAATAGTTTTCAGATACCAATAGTAAACAGTATCTAGACTAAATAGTATCTAGATTCAATGGAAATCCTTATTATGTATGTATGAAAAGTACTATATATCATAGTTCAGATTCTAATGTAGGTATAAACATATACACCAACATACCCACATATAATAGCTTCAAGTGGTACTGCCTATGGCATAAAATTTAGATAGTCTTCCTTTCTTGTAACATGTATGAAACATTACAACCATGGAAAATTTAGTCTTCCTACAAATTGCATCTTCAGACACAAGGATTCCTTACAACTAAGAGTCTCATAATTCCAGGTGCAGGGTAGTAAGATCTGAGGATCATGGTTTGAAGCCAGTCTTAGGAGGAAAGTCTGTGAGACTCTTCTCGCCAATTAACAACCAAAAAGCTGGAAGTGGTGCTGTAGCGCAAATGGTAAAGTGCCAACCTTGAGTATAAAAGCTTAGGGACAGAGCCTGGTCCCTATGTTCTCATCCTAGTATTGGCAACGCATACATACATGCTCAAAAACATATAACGTACACAAAAATTCTCCTATACTTACACAGTTCTGACACTATGCATAGTTTGGTTTCTTTACAGTCTCTACACCTGTATATGCTCCCACTATATAATCCTACTCTGTCTGCAGAGCTCCTAATGCTAGCAATCATTTTGTTTCCTTGCCTTATTCAAAGCCATGGACCATACAACAGAGCTTGGCTTCTCCAGTCTAGCCAAACAAGATTCAGACTGCACTTAGAACCTCTCTTCCCATCTGGGTGCTGATGGCTCACACCTGTAATCCTAGCTACTCAGGAAGCTGAGATCTGAGGATAGCTGTTCAAAGCCACTCTGGGCAGGAAACTCCATGAGATTCATCTCCAATTAACTACCAGAAAACCGGAAGTGCACTGTGGCTCAAGTGGTAGAGCATTTGCCTTGTGCTGAAGAGCTCAGGGACAGGGCTCAGGCCCAGAGTTCAAGCCCCGTGACTGACCAAAAAAATAAAAACAGAAGAAGAAGTTCTCTTCTCTTTCCTTCCCTTCTTAAACACGTCATTTCCAAAGGTGAAATTATTTATTTTCTTCCAAGCTCTATTCCTTCACTGCTTGTGTTATACAAATTTGCTTCCATATTGAAGGCAACCAAAACCATAACCCCATATTCTCTTATACAATTGGTATTACACTGCTAACCTCACTCATAAAATATGCATATTTGTCACTTGCATTTTCTGTGTGCAGTAATTTTGTTAGTCTTCTCTCTCCATTTAGAAAGAGAGCTTTCCTTTAAAATCTTTCTGAAGTTTAATTAATGGATGTGCAATCATTGTTGATTATGCTGATATTGTACATTCAAAGGAGGAGGATGTTTAAAGTCTTTTTAAACCAGTGTCTTTCTGTTTCCCAGTGCTGATCTAAGATGATGATTCTTAATCTCTTGGGGTCATGGACTTTTTTGAGAAGGTGATAAAATGTATGTCCTTTCTCTTACAAAAAGACATAAAAGGTCACAAAAAATTCTGCATACACTTTCAGAATATGAACTATAGATGAAGATTTCTGACTTATATTGTTTTTAATTAGTTCAAGTTCCCCAAAACAAATGTATTTTAAGTAATTGTTGAGGGAATGTTTTTTTCTTTTTCCTTTTGTTGGAGGGAAATTAAGATTATTACTTTAAAATTAACTTACCTACAATTAACTAGTAAAGAATTGGAAATAGAGAAGTGGATTAAGTGGTAGAGTAATGGCTTTGAGCAGAAAAAGGTAAAAGACAGTGCTCAGGCCCTGAGCACTGACCTCTCTTGACCTAACAACAACAAAAAACAAAATGAAACAAAGCAAAAAACCCTCAACTATTTCAGGTGTTTTCTCATCACTAACTTTTTTGTAGTCCTCATTTATTAATTTCATATCTGGAAGCCATAATTGTAAATGAGAAAAGAAAAAGCGATCTGCTAAATAAAACGTAGAAAGCAGAAAGATTAAAAAACAAAAACAAAAAAAGCTCTCACCTGTAATTCCACCTACTCAGGAGGGTGAGATCTGAGGATTGTGGTGCAAATCCAGCCTGGACCAGAAAGTCTGTGAGACTCTTATCTCCAATTAATCAGCAAAAAGCCAAAAGTGGAGTTGTGACTCAACTGGTGGTGTGCTAGCCTTTAGCACAAAAATCTCAGAGACAGTGTCCATGCTGAGTTGAAACCCCAGGATTTGTGTGGACACACACACACACACACACACACACACACACACACACACACACACACACAAATTAGCCCATCTCTGTTACATAGTTAATATTTGCCTGCCTCCTTCACTCTTCTCAGCCTCTACTTCAGTGTAGAGTTCATATATCATATGTATTCAAGGGACATAAGATTATAGTAGCAAGGGTATGAGCCTTAAAAGTCAAGTACCATTAACTATGGAGTTTCAATTTCATCACTAACAACAGGTTAAAAAAGCACCTCAAATTTTTTTTTTGTCAGTCATGGGCTTGAACTCTGGACCTCAAGGCTAGCGCTCTACCACTTGAGCCACAGAGCCACTTCCAGTTTTGTCTGAGTGGTTTATTGGAGATAAGAGTCTCATGGACTTTCCTGTCCAGGCTGGCTTTGAATCATGATCCTCAGATCTCAGCTTCCTAAGTAGCTAGGATTATAGGCATGAGCCACGGTTGCCTGGCAGCACCTCAAAATTTTATGTTAAATTTTAGTAAATGAAAACAATTTACCCAGTGGAATTCCAGGAGGTCCAAAAAGCTTTACCAATTGGAAAGCAAACCTTTGTGGTAAGGGCAGCCAAAAAGAATCCAGTCTTAAATCATGGTGATTCTCAGTTGGTAAACACTGTAGTGACTTAGAGTCTTTCAATTTCTTTAGTTTTTCACCAGATCTTTCATTTAAAACCTGAGTATCAGAAGTAATCCTCAAAGAGCACAAAGTATCAGGTTGGCTACATAAAATTTCTGAAAAAATAAAGTCTACATCTGTTAGTGTATTTCTTACTCTTGTCTGAGATTTGAAAGTCAAAAATGTTTTTTTGCTGGTAAAAGGTATCATCCAAAAGCTAGATATATAATGTAGCACAAAAGAAGGAAGAGGATTTTTATAAAGATACATAGCATGTCCTAGTCTATTAAATGACAGGTAAGGAAAATAAAATTTTCCACCAATATTTAGAGGTGAGTCTTTGAAAATATCAAAATGAAACAATGATGTTTTTTTATCATTACATGTCATGAGTTTTTGTTTTTTCTCCTCTTTGTTATTTACTTCTGAATTTTTGTCTTTTTCTTCTCCCAAAATATTGTTCAGTGCATGGCTTTCTGTTAACAGGCTATGTTTCTCCTTTTCTTTTGTATTGGTAAGACTCTGTCCCAGTAAACTAAAGTTTGGTACCAAATTAAAAATCTTTCTCCACCTTTTTTCATTCACTGAGGCACTCTTTGGGTTATCTAGTTGAGGTAAACAGCTTCTGAAGTTATTTGTTTCTGTGTCTCTGAATGGAGCTATAGTTTCTGTGATAGGTGACAAATCTTCATCTTCTACCAGTAACTTCACATCTATCAATATTTCTTGTCTGCTTCCTGGTTCTGATATGCCTTCAGAAGTGGAGATCAATTTAATCAATTGCTCCTTGCTGTCAGGACAGGCCAGTTTATGTGATCTATCTTTCTTTGGTCTCTGTTCACACACAAATTTATGAGGTCCCTCAGGCCAGCTATCAAAATAAGGTTGTCTATCAGAGCCTAGCTGTAATTCCTCATCAGACAAATTGTTTGTGAGAAAAGCCCAATAATTATTTTTACTTGCATGTACTCCTTGTTCCTCTCTTAAAATGTTCTCTGAAGCTCTGGATCCATGTTGATAGTGCTCAATTGGTTCATTTAGTAGTCTTTGGTCTACTTCTATCTTCTGGAGAAATGGACATGGAGTACTAGCAAATGAGTTCTTCATGTTTAATGCCATGGTAAACCTATTGTCCTTGTGTTTTTCTACCTTTATGCCAGAGCAGTCATCCTTTGTTACACAAGGAAGATTTTGAGTCCCTATGGGCCAAGTACCAGAGCTTTTGTTTGACATTGATGAAGAAATTAGAATTAATTCATCATCTCCCTTGGAGAAGTTCTTTGGCGTGTTATACAGTTCAACTGTAGATACAACACTTTCAAAACTATCTTCAAGATTTTTTTCTTTACAGCCATTCAGTTCTCTACATGCATTTTGTCGGCCACTAATAAAAAGACATTCTGCTACTGTTTTGTTCTCTTTAATATCTTCTTCATTCTGAAATGGGTACTGAGCTTCTGTTGTAAGATAACTACAAGTTTCAAGTGAGTTTTCATCTGCGATTTCACAAAGACTGTTAGATTTTTTGTTTCGTTTTCTGTTTCTTTTCTGTTTGGCTTTGCTGAGTCGGAACCCAGTTTTCCTCAAAATTCCTTCTCTGAAACATAAAGAAGTTATAGCTTTATTATTTGCGTAACATCAGAAAACCATAACACAAAATTCTCAATGTGCATATTTAAAGAATTACCAGTACAAGGGGCTGGGAAGGTGCTCAGTGGTAGAGTGCTTGCCTGGCATACATGAGGCCTTGGGTTCGATTCCTCAGCACCACATAAACAGAAAAGGTTAGACATGGCACTATGGCTCAAGTGGTAGAACACTGGCCTTAAGCTGAAGAGCTGAGGGACAGCGCCCAGGTCTACAGTTCAAACCCCACAGCCGACAAAAAAAACAAAAGAGAATTACCAGTACAAGAAATTTTAAAGTAGACATACTTTGTACTGTATTTAAAATACTTTTTAAAAGATTTTAAAATCCTATAAATTAAAAACAAGTATAACTTGAAGAAAGTTAAAGACCACATGCACATACTAGTTTTATCTACCAATTCACTGTAGGAAAACCTAATTATTTTTCTTAAAATATATGTGTGTATATATACATATGAACTATATGTGTGTGTGTATATGTATATATATATACATGTCTGAAACCTAACGTTAGACATCTTAAATAAATAAAAGTGGATGGTAGAACGTTAGTGCTTTAGTAGTTGATTTTTATTTTTTATTGTTATTATAAAGGTTATGTACAGAGGGTTTGTTTGCAGTTACCGAAGTTAGGTAAAATGTACCTTTCTTTTTGGACAATGTCACCCCTTCCCTTGGTCTCTCCTAGTTTTTCCCTGCCATTCTCACCCACAAGTTGTATAGTTCATTTTCCACATAGTGTCTAGTAAATACTACTGCTACATTTGTTTACCCTTTTCCCCTCCATTTCTGTGTCCTCCTCACACTTGCAAAGACGATAAATAAGACAAAAACAAAAACAGCAATGAAGAAAAACCTCATTTCCATTTCCTGGAGTTCGTTTTGATAAATATTATTTTATATAATCAGATAGGCAGTGCCCCTTTGTGTTCCTATTCTAAGAATATCCTAGTAGCTAGTTTTTATTTTGACATATAAACTTTGGCAATTAAGTTGTATCAAATTATATGCAATGGTTAATAATAAGCAATTGAGTGCAGTATTTGGGTGAAATACTTCCAACTATCCAGCTAATCATGATTCTAAACAGAGACTACACCACTATTTTGAGAGGTATTTGGAAATGTGTGAGGGCATTTTTGGTGATCACAATGCCGAGTAGTGTGTTTCTAGCGCTGGGCACAGAAACAAAGGATGCTAACTATCCTATGATGCCCAGTGAGAAAGGTATGCCTCTCAAAAGAGGAACAGCATTTCCACTGGGCATACTAACGTGTTCAGAGTGGCCATTATAGAAGGCAATGCTCAATGTGAAGAGAAAAAGAGAGTATTTAGGAAATGTTCTCATTTTGGACATAAAAGTCTAGTTATCTCTTCCACATTGGGCAATCAGAGTCAGGGCATGGGTGCCCATGAAGTTATAGAAAAAAGCAGTGGAAGGACACCAAACATAGGTGAGGGGAAATACATGGAGGATATGGAGCAATAGAAATGCAAATCAGCCAATACAGAAAAGCAAACATGAGAAGGGAAAGGGAGCAGTCAATTTTTCTCTGGCTAAGCAATAGACCATGAGGTTATTAAGCCTACCTTTGACCTAGTTTATTTCACCCCATACTGCTAGGTAATTTTTAATAGATAGGACATAGGAAAATCTTGTGTTCCTGTCACCTTTGCCACCTAATTGCTATACAATGTGTTGACTTAGGAATAATATCAAGGGGGCTGGAGATTTAGCTAAGAGGCAACGTCCTTTGTTAGAACTCCAGGACACAAAAAGAAATGAAAAAGATGCGAAGCAAAGGTAAGGAAAGACAGGGGAAAGGAAGAAGGGAAGGAAGAAGGGAAGGGAAGGGGAAAAAGGAGAAGGAAAAAGAGAGGAGAAGAGGAGATAGGAGAGAGGGGAGAGAAAGGGGCAAGGAAGAGGAAGGAGGAGGAGAAGAGGACATCAAGGAACACTAAGGTTCCTAGAAGCAATTGTGATGGGCCTCTCTTAAAAGAATATCAAGTGGAGCTGGGTGCTGGTGGCTCATGCTTGCAATCCTAGCTATTCAGGAGGCTGAGATCTGAGGATTGCGGTTCAAAGCCAGTCTGGGCAGGAAAGTCTATGACACTCTTATCTCCAAATAACTACCAGAAAACCAGAAGTGGTGCTGCTGCTCAAGTGGTAGAGTACTAGCCTTGAGCTGAAGAGCTCAAGGAGAAAGCCCAGGTCCAGAGTTCAACAACAACAACAAAAAGAATATCAAGTACACAATGTCATCTTTGATAGTAACTTTCCATGGTTATATCTCATTCTCACAAAAGCTTGAGTGAAAGTCCAAAGTACAGTATGAGTCATGAAATGCACACTGAAGAGTGGACTGTCAGTTAGAAAAGAAGCTCCTTGTCTCTGCCCAAATCTGAACTATTCTGTTGTAGGATGAGGCAACAAACAAGTGGAGTTTATTGTTGTTTTATCTCTGGAATTAGACAGCAGCACATGTTGAACTTAAGACTGCAGCAATGGTTCTGGTTCACAGGAACACTGCATCCATGGAGCTGATGTACTTGATGTGTAGCCACCATCCCCAAGAACAGTTCTCAACAAACCAAGGAAGCAGAAAATACAATTTCAAAGAATTTGTAGGCTGGAGATGTAGCTGGGTGGCAAAGTGCATGCCTAACACGCAGAGGGCCCTGGGTACCATCCCCAGAAAGCATGCACATGTGCACACCTACAACTAAATAAATGGATATGAGGATATATAAACATAAGAATCAAGTACACATGCAAGAATTTTGTTCTGAATGACTGAAAGCATAAAGTGGCTGTCAATTACAAAAGTTTATGTGAAGCATGAGTTTGGAGAGATGGCTGGCAAAGCAGCTGCCTCAAAGTTTGAACCAAGAGGCTAATCTGTCCTTATAGCAGAGGTTAGAGTAGAAAAGATAAGGGCTGTGGGCTTCTTCAATATTCCTCAACTGCTCCTTTGTTATTTTAAAGGATTAGAAAATGATATCTATGAAAGGATAATAAGGACCTATGCTAAAGATAAATCACCAAGCCTCCCAAGAAATGAACATAATAGATCAGGAAAGAATGAGGTAGCTAAATAAACTCTTAGAGTCTGGAAGATCAGTAAATTTATTAAGTCATTTACTAAAGAGTTATTAAAGGAGGGGGCGGGGGAGCGGGGAGGATTGGGGGGCACTCGGGGGAGGATGGGAAGGGGAAACAAAGGAGGAGGCTACAATGCTTAATAAGAAATGTACTCATTATCTTGCCCATGTAATTGTAACCCCTCTGTACAGTATTTTCACAATAAAAAAAGTTATTAAAGGAGACTCCAAGGATTGGAGTCCAATGGACAATATAATATAATATCAAGAGATACAAAAATCTGAGGAATGACTACAAGGAAGTATGCCAGGGACATGTTATCAGTTCTGCCACCACTGAAACCCTATTGAGTTACTCTCCATTTTCCAGAAACAGTGGACCAGGTTGTCTAGAAAGGAAACAAATCAGTAAGTAACTTGTGAAGTTACTGGGAGATAAGAAATATGGTGGAGGTAGCGATAACTTTAGCTGAAATGTGTACATCTAATCAGTAAATGCATTTTCTTCAGGAACAAGGATCTATAAAGCAAGATAAGCTTTCAAAGCTGTGTCATGCCTTGTAAACTTGATCTTACTTGTGAGGATTCACTTGGGATGAATAGCACTGTTAGAAAAAAAAATTAGGAACATGACAAGCACACACTGTAGCTTTTGAAAAGGAGAAGGTAGGAAATGAACAATAGTAACATATCTCTGCTGAATAACATTTTGCCTTCTAGATGGCTTAAAATCTAAACTCTGACTAGTGGAAACTCTTAAAAGTTAAAGTTTTTGCTCAGAGACAAACTGACCTGACAAATGACCTGAAGACAAAGGTAAGAAGCATCCACATAAAGCCCAAACTGATGACTATAGAGAAGAAAAAAAGTGGAAGAGGAAATGTATAATAATGATTTTCATGAAAAAAAGTAAATAAAGGGGCCAGTGACATCAAATATAGAATCCTAACTCAGCCATGGGCAATACATGGAGTAAATCTGATATTAAAGTATATGTAGGTTATAAAAGAAAGGCCTCAGAGCTTTGTGGAATGAATAGTAGGCCTAGAACTGGTCCTGGATTGGTAAAAATCTATCTAGTGGAGTCTCAGATAAACAGGTCTCCTTTTTGCTTGTTTGTAGTTGTTGTGTTCCAATCTTGGGGCTTGAACTCAGGACCTGAGCACTGTCCTTGAGCTTCTTTTGTTCAAGGCTAGCACTGTACCGCTTGAGCAACAGTGCCATTTCTGGCTTTTTATGTATATGTGGTACTGAGGAATTTGAACCCAGGGCTTCATGCATGCTAGGCCACTAAGCCACATTCCTATCCTTGTTTCTTTCTTTTTTTTTTTGTTTTTTGTTTTTTGGTGCTGGTAATGGGGATTGACTTCAGGGGCACATGCTCGCTCTCACTTGACTTTTTTGCACAAAGCTTGCACTCTACCACTTGAGCCATACCTTCACTTTTGGCTTTTTTGGTGGTTAATTGGGGATAAGAGGCTCACAAACTTTTCTGTCTGGGCTGGCTTTGAACTGTGATGCTCAGATCTCAGCCTCCTGCGTAGCTAGGATTATAGGCATGAATCACCAGTGTCTAGCTCATAGGTCTCTTTTCTTATATGGGGGTAATATTCCATAACTAGGGTTGCTCTGACCTCTCTAGAGGCACTCTAGTTTAAAGAGCATACTTCTGATAACTTGACCCTGTCATTGGGATAGAGCAGTTATATGGTCAGTAGAGAAGGCATTTAGCTTTAAAGGTAATGCACTAAGTCATTGCATGTGGGGCAAAAGCTTAATAGCTGGGGTAAACAATCAGCTTGAAAGGAAAGACTAGACAATGAGACATGTTAGGAAATGAAGGCTT